TCTCTTCTCTCTCTCTCTCCTCTCTCTCTCTCTCTCTCTCTCTCTCTCTCTCTCTCTCTCTCTCTCTCTCTCTCTTCTCTCTCTCTCTCTCTCTCTCTCTCTCTCTCTCTCTCTCTCTCTCTCTCTCTCTCTCTCTCTCTCTCTCTCTCTCTCTCTCTCTCTCTCTCTCTCTCTCTCTCTCTCTCTCTCTCTCTCTCCTCTCTTCTCTCTCTCTCTCTCTCTCTCTCTCTCTCTCTCTCTCTTATCTCTCTCTCTCTCTCTCTCTCTCTCTCTCTCTCTCTCTCGCTCTCTCTCTCTCTCTCTCTCTCTCTCTCTCTTCTTCTCTCTCTCTAGATCTCAGGCGGGGAGGATATTGAACGCCTGGGCCCACCTCATATTCAGATATTTGCGAAGCAAACCTATCAGCATTGTGTCCTGTATATACTTGCTTAAACTAAACATTCCAGAACATGTTTTTCGTTTCGAAGCATCCACAAAAGCAAGGAAACTCATATTTTTTGCGAAATTTGCTGCTTCTCACAGTGCCGCAACGATATGTCCTAGAGCTAATTTTGGATGCTGGCATGTGCACTACTAAAGCGTACCGTGTTCTCATGATCCCATGCTGGAACCGCATTCGAAAGAATATTGTGGCGTGAAGATCCAGCTACTCTCAAAAAGTAAATATCACATGGGAATCGGGAGAAGATGTCGCGAGCTTTGGAATGCATGACTTCTAAAGCAGCAACTGCTGTGGGACCAATCATTTCAGCAGTAATGAAATGCAGCTCAGTAGGACTTTTAGAGGAATGCCCCCATTCCGAGAATAAAGAGTAGCGTCCGTTGCTGATATGGTTCGATCGCAATCAGAGCTGAAGGATCGCATTTGAAGTTGAAGGAGGGAGGAGCTGGAGGCTAGCACCTTGCAACTTAAAAATCCAAGTTGGCAGAGCGGGGTCTCACTTTTTAGATACGATACTCAATTAAGATTCCAGCTCAAGGAGCATTCCAGATCATCAGTTCAATACACGTTCCAGCACACAAACGAACTGCGAAATAACGCCTCAGCTTCCTCCAAAAGGAGAAAATAAAGTGTCTTAAGTCCTAGAAGAAATAGGCTGATCAACACAAGGCAGAGCCCATGTTGTTACTGCCCAAGTCCAACTGTCTTGTTAAAATATGCCCCAGGTCTCAACGCACATTTAATGATAAGAAATCGTTCGTAAGAGTTGGCATGCTTCCGCAAGAGTGAATGATTTGCGTAACGAAGATTGCGTATTCAAAGGGTCTAGCATATTTTTCTCCCCTTATAATCGTGATGATAAGTCTGCATAAAATTAGGCAAACACGGTGGGGAGTCCTTTGAAGTTTTGAACATCCAGTTCGTACTCGGTGTCGTAAAAACAAAGATAAATGGCATGGATGTTCTCGCGCCCCAGGATTCTTTTCGTTTTTTCCGAGATTTCGATTCGTTCTCCCGAGATTGCTAGGGAACCAAATTTACGCAGAGTCGATTAAGCAATCCGCAAACAGTGGTCGATGGCAATTCTCAATACGGGTAACTATCCCCTCTAGTTGCTACGAGGGAATTTCCTGCCCGACGTCCCACCCCTTGACGCTGTTCTCGGATCTCAGGAACCTGAGGGATGGACACGAGACGCATCCCACTTGTTTGCTTTCTTCCGATGTTCTTATATGGGCCCTGGAGGCTGGTGTGACTAGTCTTTTTACTGGCTACATAACAGAACCTTTGGAGCAGCATTAACATTATAAAAGATTTTCCTCTTTACTTCACAATCCTTCGCTTTTTACTATTCAACAACATGTCAGTTAAGCTTGAGCCCAGTCAAATATTTTCAATTTTAAAGCGATGAACATCCCTTTGCACGGTATCAGCCATGCAAAAGTTCTGCTTTATGCACGGTGTTGTGTGCATGAATGGTGTTAGTGCATGCGCACATGTTACGTTGACGAACTGCAACGAACGATTCAGGCAACTTCAGACGGCATGAATACTTGAAATAATTACGAAGGTGAAAATCCAGTTAGGTACCAAAAACTGTATGTGCTGTCCAAAGAAAAAGAAAACTTCATCAGTTCAATGTTAAAAAGGACTGACATTTCAACACGATTCCAAACGGCATGTCGTTGCCACACGAAGCTTGAAGTGGAGGACAATTATCTAACGATAATATCGAGAACCTACGAAATGCCAGGACCGTATGCCTATGATTCTGAGGGTTAGTAAGTGACATCATTAGGCTGAAACAAGACCGCTCCGGACAAGTGCATGAAGAAATCACCATTCGTGCTTCATGCACCGTCTAAGCAAGCGTTTGTCAACAAACGCCTTAAAACGGCATTATTAGAAACGGAGTAGTAGTCGAAAACATGGAAAGAACACGATTTGCCTATATTCTAAGTTGGCTATATTGCACCAGTTTTACGTAGCAATGTAGTGATTTCTCAAAGGCATACATATCCATTGAATCGCATTGCAATATTGCACATAACTGTACTGCATTCAGAAGAACGCCGACCAACTTGTCTCCGACTTCCGTGTTTCTTTCTTTCGCGTTTGACGGAGGCGAGGCGTTGACACATCGACGAAACGTTGAGGCGCTTACATCAGTCTCAATCATAGCTGACATCTTCAAGAGGCACCAAAAATTTGCATCTTTTCCCGGAATGCACATGCGATATGAGCATACAATTGTGGCAGAACCCCTTTGTTTCGTTTTTGTTTGTCACACTAGGTTTCTCTTCTGGAAAACTCATGCGTCGATGTTTTTTATTAGTTCCCGTTGAACGAAAGTGAATTAGTGGACATGATACGAAAAGGTGCAAAAGAAACATGGCAGCAGTAATGTATACCGTTAAATGAAGGCCAGACATTATTCAGTGTGACAACCGCTCTCATATTATAATATGTCGTGGCATTTCATGCAGTATGGTCAACACATTGCGCTTGAACAAATTTCGGCTGCAGTTGGCCCGGCGCGACACTCCTCAAGCAATGATGACGTCAGCAATGACGATGCGTAGTAGATACTCCAACCGTATTACATGAAATACCAAATGGCATGTTTGGCACGTTACATTATGCAACTTTGGATGAAACTGTCCAGCGTCACTGTCCGTCTCGTACATTGAGGCATAGACATGTGCGAGGGCATAGCTTCGGGAGAGAAATTCGGGCTGAGTGGAAAAAATGGTTAAGCCTAACCCCAGAATTTACAAAAGGGGTTTCACATACCTTTCTCTCAAAGTTGCGGTGTCCCCCACCCTTATGGGACCAGAAAGAAATCCCTGTGCATGTGCATGCACGCGTGCTCACCACTGCTCAGACATCAAAGTGCATGTGTGCGCGATGACTGTACGGAGAGCCGCCCACCCACACTCTGGACTTCAAACTGGCACAACTAAGTACATACTTCGGTCCCGGGGTACCACTATTCGATGCTGAATCGACGCCGGAGACCAGCGGCAGCGGAGCGGCGCGGGGCCTGATCTATATGCAAGCCAGTGCTCGTCCGCTATACATCCAGGCTTGTGTGCATGGAATACATTGAAAGCTGGGTTAGTGCCAGTGCTGAGCAAGTCTCGCCATGTTTAAACAGGTACCCGGGTACATAGGCTGGTTTCATAGTTCCATAGTTGTTTCAGGTTGTTATCAAATGTTGCATGTACATGTGTGATGAAATGTTGTGCATAGCCAAACAAAATGTGTAAAACGCTAAATGCTGCAAAGTAAAGTGCCAAATGCTGCTCATGCCAAGCAAAAAGACGAGGATGTTACAGCAGTCACGCCGGGAGAAAGTTCCACGGTCACA